CGCCACGAGCACCTCGGGGGGCTGCGGCTGGACGTTGGGCACCTCTGCGGCCTGGAGATGGACGTTTGTCACCTCCGTGGGCTCGAGTTGCACGTTGGGCACCTCCATGGCCTTGAGTTGGATGTTGGGCACCTCCTCCACGGTCTTGAGTTGGACGTTGGGCACCTCCATGGCCTTCAGTTGGATGTTGGGCACCTCCACGGTCTTGATTTGGACGTTGGGCACCTCCATGGCCTTCAGTTGAATGCTGGGCACCTCCATGGTCTTGAGTTGGATGTTGGGCACCTCCATCGTCTTGAGTTGGACACTGGGCACCTCCACGGTCTTGAGTTGGACACTGGGCACCTCCTCCACGGTCTTCAGTTGGATGTTGGGTACCTCCATGGTCTTGAGATGCCTGTTAGGCACCTCTGTGGTCTTGAGTTGGATGCTGGGCACCTCCATCATTTGGTGACAGGAGTTGGGCATCTCAGTGGCCTGGAGATGGACATTTGTCACCTCCATTGTCTTCAGCTGGATGTTGGGCACCTCCGTGATCTTGAGATGGATGTTGGGCACCTCCATCATTTGGTGATGGATGCTGGACACCTCTGTGTCTTGGAGATGGACACTGGTCATCTCTGTAGTCTGGAGATGGACGCTGGGCACCTCTGTGACTTGGAGATGGACACTGGGCACCTCAGTGGTTTGGTGACACACACTGGGCACCTCTGTGGCCTGGAGATAGACATTTGTCACCTCCGTGGTTTGGGGATGGATGCTGGGCACTTCAGTGGCTTGCAGCTGGACAGTGGTCACCTCTGCATCCTGGAGATGGACACTGGGAACCTCCATGGTTTGGTGATGGATGTTGCTCACCTCAGTGGCCTGCAGGTGGACATCGGTCACCTTTGTGGTCTGGAGATGGATGCTGGGCACCTCTGTGGCTTGGAGATGGATGTTGGGCACCTCAGTGGTTTCGAGATGGACATCGGGCACCTCTGTGGTCTGCAGCTGGATGTTGGGCACCTCCATGGCCTGGAGCTGGACGTCAGGCACCTCTGTGGTCTGCAGCTGGATGCTGGGCACCTCTGTGGCCTGGAGCTGGACCTCAGGCACATCTGTGGCCTGCAGCTGGATGCTGGGCACCTCTGTGGCCTGGAGATGGATGTCGGGCACCTCTGTGGGCTCAAGATGGACACTGGGGACCTCAGTGGTTTGGAGATGGACGTTGGACACCTCTGTGGCTTGGAGATGGATGTCAGGTACCTTGGTGGTTTGGAGATGGACATTTGTCACCTCTGTGGTCTGCAGCTGGACATTGGGTACTTCTGTGGCCTGGAGATGGACGCTGGGCGCCTCTGAGGGCTGTGGCAGGGCATGGAGCTGGATGTTGGTGATCTCAGAGGGCTGTGGCACGGCTTGCAGCTGGACATTTGCCACCTCGGTGGCCTGCAGCTGGATGTTGGTGACATCTGAGGGTTGTGGCAGGGCTTGGAGCTGAACATTTGTCACCTCAGTGGCCTGCAGCTGGATGTTGCTGACATCCAAGGGTTGTGGTAGGGCTTGGAGCTGGATGTTGGTCACCTTGGAGGGTTGTGGCAGGGCTTGGAGCTGGATGTTAGTGACATCCAAGGGTTGTGGCAGGGCTTGCAGCTGGACATTTGTCACCTCTGTGGCCTGCAGTTGGATGTTGGTGACATCTGAGGGTTGCGGCAGAGCTTGGAGCTGGATGTTGGTGACGTCTGAGGGTTGCGGCAGAGCATGGAGCTGGATGTTGGCCACCTTGGAGGGTTGTGGCAGGGCTTGCAGCTGGACATTTGTCACCTCACTGGCTTGGAGCTGGATGTTGGTGACATCCAAGGGCTGCGGCAGGGCTTGGAGCTGGACATTTGTCACCTCGGCAGCTTGGAGCTGGATGTTGGTGACGTCCAAGGACTGCGGCAGGGCTTGGAGCTGGACGTTGGTCACCTCGCTGGCCTGGAGCTGGATGTTGGTCACCTTGGAGGGTTGTGGCAGGGCTTGCAGCTGGACATTTGCCACCTCAGCAGCTTGGAGCTGGATGTTGGTGACATCCAAGGGCTGTGGCAGGGCTTGGAGCTGGACACTTGTCAGCTCCGTGGCTTGGAGCTGGACATTTGTCACCTCAGCAGCTTGGAGCTGGATATTGGTGACCTCCAAGGGTTGTGGGAGGGCTTG